TATTTTTGCCTACTGTGATGATGATGTCTTAGTTTGGTGTGATACCAAAATATCATCATAACTGTAAATAATGTGATCATATTGAAAACAACAACTAAAACCCACCATGATAACGGTGAGTGACATGGTCAACCTTGAAACACCACCAAAAAATGCTGCTGCTCCTAACAGGGCAAAGGCTCCAGGATCCATCCACAACCAGTACTTAGTGGTATTAACTCCAAATAGTGCCACTAATCCTCGTCCCACGATCCTTCCAATCATTCCTCCAATAAACCTAGAAGTGTAGATGTAAGAGCTTGCTTGTTATCCAAGACAATTTCATAAGTTCTCCATATTACTATTCACTCATAGTTTATATCTTGAATTAAGATACTGTTCACATTTTCACACAAGTTTTAATCTTCAAGAATTTTCAAAAACAAAACCTATTTTTCTCTTGTTTCCTGCAGTTGGTGGTGTATATACAGTATCAATATAATCTAAACATAAATTTTACAGATTATGTTGTCAAGAAAAGAGATCATTTTCTGTTTGGAATATCACTTATTTTACAAATACATATACAAATTGCCATTTTAAATAAATCAAGGTAATTTTTTTAAATGCCTAACTACGAGTATACCTATTGGAATGTCCATCTTCAGCAGAGTTTGTGGGGTGAATAAACATGAAAAATGTGTAAATAAGTAGAGTACCATGTAAAGATTGCCTGTAAGATGCCCTTCCATATAAACAGGCTCATATATACTCCCCCCTTTGTTATTTATCTACGAATGTGAAGTATGAGTGAGAGATCTCGTCCTACTTTAGAAATGGTCTCAATCATTCAAGAACTTCTGAATAAAATGATATCTATATTACTAAAAATTAATTCCATTACTCTAATGGTAGAAGTAATCTCATTTGGCTGTAATCAAAACTTTAGTACTGCTAATCCGGTATTACACTATGGAAAACTAAGTGGTATTATAATAAACTTGTGTCACTTCTTACAATTTGGGTACCACTACTCCACTTGAAATAGCAGTCCCCGAAGCCCAACAGGCCAGAAGAAAGTAACACGGAAGGACCATGATTAAAGGTATGAAGTCAAACTCCAGGTGGGTCTGTCTAGAGAACAAGTGCTTCACAGCTTTCTCGCCAGTAACGGATAACAAGGTAGCCACTAGAGAGAGATGAAAAATATAACACGCAATCCATGAAAAACTTTGAATACCATTACTTCATTCAGCATCTCTTGCTTATTTGTATTTCCCAACATACTGATCTTACCTCTAGTTAATTTAGGTACAGGATTTCTTTGTTCTTACCAGGGTTGAATGTGCCATTTCTGTATAGAGTTCCATTTATAGTTATTTCTGCTCCTTTAGGGCAATTGAAATGTTCAACTGTCTTTTCTGTATAGATTGGAGGCTTTGGGTTACAAAATGGATTTCCATTTCCCTCCCAGTGACAAGTAAAAGTTGCACAGGAAGCCATGGTAGGCAAAAATACCGTCAGTGTCCCCATAATAACCTGCAACAAGAACAATAAACCACCATAAGAAGTACTGTTGTGTAATAGGAAACAACAACTAAAACCCACCATGATAACAGTGAGTGACATGGTAAACTTGGAAACAACAACTAAAACCCAAGTTTACCATGTCACTCACTGTTATTATGGTGGGTTTTAGTTGTTGTTTCTGAGTTTACCATATCACTCACTGTTATCATGGTGGGTTTTAGTTGTTGTTTCTGAGTTTACCATGTCACTCACTGTTATCATGGTGGGTTTTAGTTGTTGTTTCCGTGTTTACCATGTCACTCACTGTTATCATGGTGGGTTTTAGTTGTTGTTTCTGAGTTTACCATATCACTCACTGTTATCATGGTGGGTTTTAGTTGTTGTTTCCAAGTTTACCATGTCACTCACTGTTATCATAGTGGGTTTTAGTTGTTGTTTCCAAGTTTACCATGTCACTCACTGTTATCATAGTGGGTTTTAGTTGTTGTTTCCAAGTTTACCATGTCACTCACTGTTATCATGGTTGGGGTTTTAGTTGTTGTTTCCGA